AGTCTCGTCCTCAACGTCGTCGACGGGCGTGTCCTCATAGAAGGCCCTCCGGTGCTGCTTGCCGTCGAGCTCCGCCAGCGCCTCCGCCGGGAAGCGCGTGAGCAAGGCCTTGTATGTCTTACCAAAGTTGAGGTCGCCACCTGCAGTGGCGGTGATCTCTCCACGTTGAACAGGGGATAACTTGGACTTCCGGAGGAACCACCATGTCCGTAGAGGCTTCGCAATCACTTCAGTCACACTGGAATCGATGACTTGGAGCTGCATCAACAGCTCGCGCTCCTTCTTCTCGAATCTGGCGGCCCAGTCCTGGAAGGTCTCGCCCGAGTTCCTGCTGACCTTCAGGAAGAACTCCTCCGCGAGGAGGCCCGTGTCATTAAGGCTGGTGAAGTCCAGCTTCTCCAATGCATACTGAAACACTTTGTTCCAACCAATCAACACTCCATCCTTGTCGATCTCGTCGACCGTGTCGATGTCCGGGCAGCTTTCCACCGTCGTCCGGACTCGCGCCCCGAGGGCGCGCACCAGCTGCGGGCCACACACGTAGCGCTCCGCAGTCTTGATGCTCTTGGTGAACATGGAGACATCAAACTTGTAGCTCATCAACTTGTCTGCTTCGCCGTTCCATGAGGGGACGTCGACGCGCGTCGTCGGTGGCCCGCTGGCTGCTGTAGTCGCCATTCAGGCCGAGACCGGTGGGAGCCCGTAGTTGTCGGAGACCACAGGCTCCGCTACCAATCTGATTACAAGAGATCTTCCTCTAGATCGTTCACGCTGGTGACGACGAGGAGGAGCAAGAGAAAGTATGTGTCGATGTCAATTATCGTGATAATTGTCCGTGAACACCTTTTGTCCACAATATGAACGGCCGCGCTGTAGTGTGCGCGGTCTGCCTGGCACGGCCAGGCTCTGTCAGAAAGAGTCCCGCCCTCCCTCGCCTTGAGCCGAGGGTGGCGGCGAAACGGACAGGGCAGACGGGCAGGAGGCAGCTGCTGCTCAAGCTTACTCCTGCGTAGCATTCAGACCAGAGGCCCCCCAGCGGTCCCAAGAGGCCCCCAAGAGGCCCCCAAAAGACCCCCAAGATGCCTCAAGAGGCCCCACGAGGCCCCCAAGAGGCCCCCAAGAGGCCCCCAAGAGGCCCCCAAGAGGCCCCAAGAGGCTCCAAGAGTCCCCCAAGAGGCCCCACGAGGAGCCCGAACGACTCACACCAGGACGAGGGGCCCGAACGACTCACACCACGAAGAGCCCGAACGACTCACACCACAAGGAGGGGCCCGAACGACTCACACCAGGACGAGGCGCCCGAACGACTCACACCACGAGGAGCCCGAACGACTCACACCACGACGAAGGCCCCGAACGACTCACACCACGAGGAGCCCGAACGAGTCACACCAGGAGGAGGGGCCCGAACGACTCACACCAGGACGAGGGGCCCGAACAACTCACACCACGAGAAGCCCGAACGACTCACACCAGGACGAAGAGCCCGAACGACTCACACCACGAAGAGCCCGAACGACTCACACCAGGAAGAAGGGCCCGAACGACTCACACCAGGACGAGAAACCCCAAACGACTCAAACCACGAGGAGCGCTTTCTCTCCCTCCTCCTCCGCCTCGTCCTTCTCCCGCTCCCACCACAAGGAGGATGTACAAGGAGGCGGGAGGAAGGAGGAACAGGGGAGATATGCGGGGGCAGGCGGAAACACGCCTGAAAAACACGACTGTCGGCATGCTTCGCAAGAGTTGCTGTTTTGAGATGGGCTGGTGGGGATACGCGAAGCGTGAAGAATTCAAATCAGAGCGAGAGGGCCGACCGATCTTACAAGGTCCCTGGGTTCGTTGCTGCGGTGGGGTTCCGCAGTGTGGGCTGTCATCGTTCTGTTCTCATCTCTGAAACATGGCTATTGCTGATCAACCCTTCCGGTGCCCATCGTGTTATTCCAATTAAAGTGTCCCCCCCCAGGACTCGCCCTTTTTTGTGTATCCAAGACCGTAGTGCTGCTCAAATTGCGCTGGCCCCGCCTTACAACAACACCAACAACAATCACGTTAAGACTACGCTACGCTAAGCCATATGCCAAAGTGCTCGATACCCGCCCTTTTCGTCTATGGTCGTACCCCTCGTGGGGGTCCATCTTCCTTGCCTGCCACGTATAGTTGGCACAGCCCCTAAAACACGGGCTGAAAGAGAGAATGGAAGGACGGGACAAGGGGAAGGGAGGAGGATGGAGCACGAGAGAGATTAGCAGGAGGGGGGTTAGGAGCAACAAAACAAGTGGCAGAACCAGACACTCGGGTCGGGTGAGAGGGCCCTAACATCTAACGAGCGGGCCAGGCGGGTGGGCCCAGGCAGACGCATCGAGCAGGCGGATCGCTGAAGCGTCAACCCCGCATGGATCGCGAGGAAATCTCGAGCGATAGCGCGATTCCCAAGTAAATCGTGAATTCCAAGCGTGATTCCTGAGTGTCGCGGGCGCGGCGTATGAATCCGCCGATCATGTCGGCGTGCGTGAGGGGCTTTTCCATTCGAGTCGGGCTTTTCCGTTGGAGTCGTCGTCTCCGTCCTCCTCTGTTCCATTTGCCTGGGCCTCTTCCTCATACGCGCCGTGCAAAGCAAAATTGATCAACGTAGGAAGGGAATCGAAATGAAGCCCCTTCCCTTTGATCCCTTGCCCGCGCGGGGGGGGGGGGTCGACCCGTGGGGGGGGGTCCCGCGGGGGTGGTCGCCACCAAGATACGCTTCCCCCCCGCGAGATTCCGAGACTACCCCAGTCCCGGTCCCGGCCCCGGCCCTGGCCTCGCGAGCCTCGGCTTCGCCTAACCCTGGCCCCTGGCCAGGCTCCAGCCCCAGCACCGGCATCGGCCCTGGCCCAGGCCCCGACTCTGGCCCCGGACCCAGCCCCAGACCCAGCCCGCCCCCGAAGAGACAGACGGCTCTGATCCTCCACCTCCTCCTCCTCCTCCTCCTCCTCGTCCTCCTCCTCCTCCTCCTCCTCCTCCTCCTCTCCTCCTCCTCCGCCTCCTCCTCCTCCGCCTCCTCCACCTCCTCCCTTTCCTCCTCCTCCCTTTCATCCTCCTCCTCCTCATCTTCCCTCCACCGCCCACCACATGTCACGAGCATGTGGCAGGGTCATCAGCTCGTCGTTGCCGTTGTCGTCCTGGTCGTCGTCGTGGTCGTGGTCGTGGTCGTCGTCCTTCTGGGTCGGCGGCACCGGCCGCAAGGCCTTCATAATATTTTTGTTCCTCGGAGAAGGAGAACGCAGCCACCTGACAATCCACCCGCCCAGCGTCAGAGTGAAACGCGCAGAGCTCGAATCAGGCAATGTGATACAATTACTCCACGGGCGCACGCCTTTACACGTGCATCGACCCCGTCGTGCAGAGCCCCCCGTTTCAGGCTAAAGCCGTGCGTGGGGATGGGATGCAACCAGAGCAAAAAAACACATACACTAAAACGAGGAAGGCAAAAGCAAAGAGGAGGGGGAAAACTTACCAAGACAATGCCAGGTAAACCAAGCTGTCGTGTACAATGAAAGCGCTCAGCCATATTATACAAAAGGGAAGGAGGGAGGAGAGAGAAGCGAGATGCCTAATGCGGCCGCCATGCGAGAAGCGACTGGCACGAGACACGAGCTGTACAAGCACAGCGGGACGCGCTGGGAGCAGCATGCACAACGCAAGCCGCACCGGCAAGGCGGGCAGGGCGGGCGAAAGCCGAAGCTCGCCACGGCCACACTTCCTGAGCCACACGCCGGGGGGCAGCGTACAATATGCACAAGGTCTGGGGACAAACGACTGAACAAAAAGGAATCTCAATGGGCGAAGGCACGCGCCTACGAATAGCGTGAGTTCCCAACGCCGTGAGACCGACAATGCACGGCCGTGGAGGCGGTGACTAACGAAGACAACATGGCAAAATGAAGCTGAAACGTGGCGGCCGCACCAGAACAAGCCGCCTGGTACGGCAAACGGGCAGCAACGCGCGGCCGGCGCGGACGGGACGGCGCCAGGGCTCTGGCGCGGTAGCCGCCCCCGGTTGCCGAGCGCTTTGCCCTGGCGCCACTAGGAGTGGGGAGGAACAGGAGAGAGGAGGGAGGAAGAGGGCGAGGAGAGGAAACATGGAGTTGCTCTCCTGGCAACAACGACTCTGCTTGTGGCATACCCCGTGCTTCTGATTCTGACGTCCCATTGTCAGGACTGCCACAATTGAATCACCGATTGACTGTAACGGGTGCTCGCCCGAGCCCCACGGTTTGTCTGCAGGGCGGGGGCGGCCTATGAAATTCAAGCTGTAGTTCGAAACAGGGGTTTCTGCGGTTCACCCCAAACCTCCGTGGTGCTTTTAGTAGACAGTTCTTTTTCCCTACCTAGGCTCTGCCTAGAAGGGTTCTTACTCTCTTGGCTTAAAGGGGCCAGGCAGTGTAGAACGCCCCGGGCGGCTCCCCAGGCAACAAGACCGAAGACGTCCCACACGAGATAGCGGTAAACCCCACGCGAGAGCACGACTTTCAAGTAACTCGCGATGGAACATGATGTTCAATGGATAGTAAACAAATGAAAAATATCCCGGACAACCCCTCGGACAACCAGGACAACCACCCATGCTGATTAATGACGAGTAGCCGGCCTACTGCGGACAACCTTTTGGACAACCTAGCGGGGATTCGGACAGCCCCACCGGACCGACCCCTTTGAAAAGCCTACCCGAGTATGTATTGTCCATCTGATCTTTTCTTCCTCGATTTTGAATCAATCTCGAAGAGGTGCAATCAAAACGGAGAGTAAGGACGCACCATAAGGATACACTGGCCTTGAAAAGCCGTGCCGATGCTCTTCGAGCGGGGCATGGCCGACGAAGGTGACCAAGGATGGGCCGAAGGGGAAGGATGCAAGGGAAACCTTGGCAAGCCGCTCATCCGTACTGTCAGTGCAGGCTGTAGCAAGCGGGAGCCTCGCGGCGGCGGCGGCGGAGGGACGGATGGCGGTCAGCGGGGGGCCTCGAGAAGCCAGCTGTGCAGGGGCGCGAGGGCGGCGGCCGGGGCGGCGGCCTGGGCAGGCGGAGTGCGCTCCCACGGCGCGGGAGGAGAGGGGTTCTCCTCGACCGCCTCCTGCTCGAGCGTCCTCAACCAGCCCCCACTCCCTTCTTCTTCCTCCTCCACCTCCTCCCCCTGAGCCACTGGGCCACTGATTGTCTGCGAGTCCGACGGACGCGCCCCCCCCCCTTCAGGACCAGTCGGCCCTGGGGGGCTGATCAGGCTGGGAGCCAGGTGACTACTGGAGCGATCGCGCCAGTAGTCGCCCGCTGGAAGCAGAGAGTACAGGGAAAAAGACAGCAGACAATAGCGAGATCCTCCTCCTCCTCTTCCTGCCCAGGAGGGAAGGCTTCCCAAGAGCACCAAGAGACACCCCATCGTACTCAAGACTCCTGCCTCCGCTGACCCAAGTCGTGCGAGAAGATCACGCCGAGGCTGGGTCTTGGAGGCATGGTGCCTCCAGCTGCATGCAGGGGGGTGCTGCACTCAGCGACATCGAAGCCTGGAGCCTACAATTTCGGGTTAGGGTCGGGTCGACAACCTCCTAGCATCATCAACCACGTGAGTGTCCTCCTCCTCCTCCTCCTCCTCCTCCTCCTCTTCCCTCTTCTCCCTCTCCTCCTCCTCCTCCTCCTCCTCCACCTCCTCCTCCTCCTCCCCCTCCTCCTGTAGGGACGTCAGGGAATAAGACATTCCCGCGGAGCACGCGCTGGCATGCCAATTTCTCGTGCGGTGTGCTTACTGTATAGCTCGCGCCCTTCGATCGGTTGATCTTTTCAACACACCTCCAAAATGCCCAGCTCTTGATGTGCCAGACGTCCTAAGAAAGGCTCCAGCGCGACAGAAGCGCATGAAGGTCACCAGAGACGGCCGCAAAACCTCCCAAGAAAGCTTTAAAAGGACCTCCAAGAGAGCCTCGGAACTAACACGACGGTGGTTTCAGATGTGTTTTTGACATGCGTCCCCGCTACGGAAATGCATTCATTTTGACTGTCAAGGCATGTCTGTCCAAAAAGGTGAGAAGACGCCAAGGAATGATTTCCGTTGTGCTTTCGCACGAGGCTCGCTTGAGTTGAGCATAGGGGTGGCCAGGAGTGAATTCTCCATTGTGGCTTGGAACATGAGCGGTGGTTTTGTTCCACATTGGATAACATGTAATCGTGGGGCCAGACAGAGCTTTGAAACTATATCCCACCCGACCAGGCCGAAAGAGGTCGTGAAGGGAGACTGCGGGGAAGGGGGGGTCCGTTCGGCGCTGCCGCAGTCGCTCGTGTCCAAGATGGATACAGTCGGGGCGTTGATCTCGCAAGTGGAAATTTCGATTCCCCATCGAAAACCTAAGGACAACCTAAAGTAGCCTGCAACAAAAAACCCAAGGATCACGGAAACCCTCCCAAACGAAAAAAGGTTCCTTCCTCAGCGCCCCGACTGTACCGTGACATCCGCCGACGCGTTGTTTCAATCCGCGGCCCCGAAGGTCCCGACCACCTCCACAGGGGTAAGGCTTCGTCCTGGACCCGTTTTTGATAGCGGCCGCCGGAGGCCGACATCGAGACAGTCGACCGGATTGACAAACGTAGCCAGGCGAAAGACCAAACCATATGCAGCTGCGAATACCGCATTGTGGGTACCGCTTTCGGTGAAGCTCCATCTGGGGGCCACGAACCGTGTTAGGGGGTGTAGCGAATTGGGCGCAGTGGTGCCACGCGAACCCTCCCAATGGAGCCCTCGGCGGAACTCCGTATGGAACCACGAACAGTATGAGGGGTGTGCCGGTTTGGGCCCGGTGGTGTCATGCGAACCCTCCCACTGGAACCTTCAGTGGAACTCCTTATGGGGCCACGAACCGTGTGATGGGTGTGTCGAAGTGGGCGCGGTGGTGCCATGCGAACCCTCCCATTGGAGCCTTCGATGGAGCTCCCTATGGGGCCACGAACCGTGTGATGGGTGTGTCGAAGTGTGCGCGGTGGTGCCATGCGAACCCTCCCATTGGAGCCTTCGGTGGAGCTCCCTATTAACCGCGAATCGTGTGAGGGGTGTGCCGGCATGGGCAGGGGGACGCATGCGGTCGCGGCCAGTGGGGCCTTCGGTGGAGCTCACTATGGGGCCACAAAACGTGTAAGGGGTGTGCCGACACGGGCGGGAGGACGCATGCGGACGCGGCCACTGGGGCCTTCGGCGGGGCTCCCTGTGGGGCCATAAAGCGTGTGAGTGGTGTGCCGAAATGGGCGGGGGGACGCATGTGGACGCGGCCACTGGGGCCTTCGGTGGAGGTCCCTATGGGGCCAGAAAGCTTGTGAGGGGTGTGCCGAGATGGGCGGGGGGACGCATGTGGACGCGGCCACTGGGGCCTTCGCTGGAGCTCCATATGGGACCATGAAACGTGCGATGGGTGTGCCGAAATAGGCGGGGGGACGCAGGACCCGGCCACTAGAGCCTTCGGTGGAGCTCCCTTTGGGGCCACAAAGCGTGTGAAGGGTGTGCCGAAATGGGCGGGGGGACGCATGTGGACGCGGCCACTGGGGCCTTCGGTGGAGCTCCCCATGTGACCACGAAGCGTGTAAATGGGTGTGTGCCGAAATGGGCGAGGGGACTTATGCGGACGCGGCCAGTGACGCAAATGATCATCGATCTCCAGTGCCAGCTTTTCCAAGCAAATCGCTATCTGCTTCTCTGACTCCTCATTTGCTTCAAGGTCACACTCCAATATTCCATGGGATTCTCGGTCGATGCGGCACGCGAAATTCCCATCACCTGAAGAGCAGGGGCCCATGGGTTTCTGAGGTTCCTCACCGGTCGCTGCCCGAGCCTCAAGGCCTCCATCTCCCCTCGGACCGTTGTCGTCCATCGTCGCTCGCCTGCGAACAAAAAACTGCGAAGCAGGCTTAAGTGGACTCCATTGGAGCAGTTGGTCTTCAATATCTTGGTGCATGTTTCCCAAAAAGTTCTGATTCGTTTATGGGTTTTCGACGCTTTTCATTGACACCTTCCGGTTGCCTCTGAACCTCGGGGCCTCAATCTTCCCTCTGGAAACTGCTGTCCAGCGACGGCACTTGCTAGACAACTTGGTCGCAAACAGCAATCCTGGCAACCTGGTATTTCCGAGCGTGGGTACGGCGGATCAATTTTCTTCGTCTTTGGCTCGTCGTTTTTTCCCAAGGTCACACTCCAAGCCTCCGCAAACTTTTGGAAAATTGCGGAGCAAGAGAATTCCATCACCAGAGCACGGCCCTGTCACGCGAAAATGGGTCGCAAAAAGGTGCGCTATCGGAATGGCTGCAAGCATTGTGTTGTTTCTTCTCTCCGTCGCTCCTCCTGCCCCCATACTCACTCTCTGGCCCGTAACTGGAGAGTGTATGGTGCGGAAGTCGTATGTGAGTTTCAGTGAACAGCCTCCCTCCGTCGGGGCTCCAAGTGCCTGAACCTCCAACGCCGACTGAGGAGGAGGAGGAGGAGGAGGAGGAGGAGGGACCGCGGGGACCGTCTCTTCAAAACGAGGACCCAACACCACAGGATGGTTGGGAAACATCTGTCGTCGGAGATCGGGGCAAGTTTCGCAACGTAGAAAGCCAACAAAACAAACACCCAGGAAGGCACCGAACAGGGCAAGTGGGCTGTTCTGTAAACGCCGAGGGCCGTTCAGTAAACGCCAAGTATGGGGGAAACCAGAAGGTACCGATACCGCTGATCCCCAGATCTCCCCCTGGACGCGTGCTGAGAAGAATTCCGACGCGAATCCATCGGTAGCGACGAGGGCCTCCCAGGAGGCCAAACAGAGGAAAACGACGCAAAGGTGGCGGTGTGGGCGCCTTCTCCTCCTCCGCATTATGGGGGTCGGGGTGATTTTCCATCTTTCGATAACGGGAAAATGCTGTTCACGCCGTCGCACCCTCCGCTTGCTGGATCGTTCAGCCCGGCCCGGCGGGCTGAGGCGCCGGCCCCGACGTCTCCGCGGGGCGCTGCGGCGGCGGTGGGGCTCTGGCCTCCCGGGGAGGGTCCTCCTCCAGCCCATTCCCTAAAAAAACTCCTCCGCGTCGCACCCCAAGGCCTGTCGGAAAGGCGGGCCAAGCGTTTCGCCTGCGATTTCCTTACCGCTTGTGACCCTGAAGCGTAAAATTGTAACGGCTTCACAGATAGAGGACGGCTCGCTTCCTAAATGTGGTTCTCGCCTGAGCGCCGCGCACATTCGTCTCAAACCTCCGTGCAGTAATTTAACGGATTGACGGCGGGCTGCCTTCAAACTGTGGTTCTGGCTTCGACGTTGCGAACATTCGTCTGAACCATTTGCAAGAGCTTCACGGATTGAGGGTGGCTCATTTTCAGCATGTGTCGCTCGAGTTACAATTGCAAAAACTTCACTGGCCCCCGTGGATAACGTACCAAAGAGTGCGTTTTGGAGCGAAAGGTTACGTTAGTTCGCTGTGTGGAAGTCCCACGGCTGGTGTTCTGGCGCGATTCAAGATCGTCCGGACGCAACAAAGAAATTGATTCGTCGCGTTGGGGCCCCGTGAATAGTGCTTCGGCACGCACCAGGATCTTCAAACCCTTGTCTCCCAACGGGGCACTTGCCTGTGGAAATGAATCCTTGCACGGTCCTGTAAGGAGGGAGCTTGGAAGGAGGGTAAATGCCAACATCGTTGATGCGTCTTGGGATTGAACTAATCTTCCTCCTCATCCTCCTCCGCCTTCTCCCCCTCCTCCTCCTCCTCCTCATCCCCCCCTCCTCGCTCTCCACGTCTAATCTCCTGATGGCCTCCCCTCCCCTTCCTGATTGGCTGGCCAGGTGCCTCCCTGTGTCCTCGCCTGTGAAGCACAACCATCCCTGTATGGCCACCGCGCCATTCACCCCACACCTGTGCGTCTCCAGGCTGCGTCCCCCACCACCTCCTCCTCATCCTCCTCTTTCTGGAGGGGCGATTTCACGGCGGCTTGGAAGCGTTTGCCTGCTGTCTGTCTCTCTCTCTCCCCCTCTCTCTCTTTCTCTGTCTCGCCTTTCCCTTTGCAGGCTTACTTTA